GGACAGTCCCCTTTCTATGTGGGTTTCAGCCATTAACATGTCTGGAAGTAAGTATCCTGAACAAAGTGAGGCATTGGCATGTTGTTTGTTAAGGAGTTCTCCCTTTTTTCTTGGGTGGAGCGGGAAGGAGAGGACATGAGAGAGGATCATGGTCCATTAAGCAAAATTTTCCAGATCTTTTATTCTGAACTCTGTTGACCCATACTTCCTTCTAAAATTTGGTGGCCTTTTGCACTTCACCTAGTTCTTCTGGTGCAGCTGTAACCCACACACCTTCTTGGTATGGTGTTCTGTCCCCACTCGTGGCATTGAGACCACATAGAGATTAGCTAGGGGCCTATGTGGCTTTTAGCTCATGCAGTAGAGGCTCATACGCTAAGCTCCAAAGGTTCCAGGTTCGATCCTGTCTTCCGACAACTCGGCAGTGTTACACAGTCTCTATGATCCCATTATTTTACATCTTTGCTTCCTACTGGGAGATCAAAAAGGTGCATGCTTTAGAACCATAATGTGGTTGGCATAGTACACAGGTTATAACCAGAGCAACAATTTGCAAAGCTAAAATGGTTGATAATACAGTGTGATATATTTTGAAGTGTGAAAGTCCAGTCCAATAAACCACTGATAGCTGAAATTCTCCTTCTCTACCTAGAGCAGTGGTTCTCAACCTTTCCAGACTATACACCTTTCAGGAGTCTGATTTGTCTTGTGTACCCCAAGTTTCACCTCACTTAAAAACTACTTGCTCACAAAATCAGACCTAAAAATACAAATGTGTCACAGCACACTATTACTGAAAAAATGCTGACTTGCTCAGTTTTACATTATAATTATAAAATAAATCAGTTGGAATATAAATATTGTACTTACATTTCAGTGTATAGTAGATAGAGCAGTATAAACAAGTCATTGTCTATGTGAAATTTTAGTTCGTACTGACTCCGCTGGTGCTTTTTATGTAGCCTATTGTAAAACTAGACAAATATCTAGATGAGTTGATGTACCCCCAGAAGACCACTGTGCACTCCCAGGGGTACTCCCTGGTTGAGAACCACTGACCTAGAGAATCTAATGAATATGAATCCATAAATATACTGTGCATGACCCCATCCTTCCTCTTTTCCCAAGAGCAATCTTTCATTTCCTCTGTATTTCCCCTAAATGTTTATTAATTGAATCTTGAAACCAAAGAAAAATAAGTCAGTTTATTGCAAAAGATAATATCCCATTAAAACAGTCTAGAAATTTACAAAACATTACATTTGATTATTACATTTTATTAGGAAGGTGCTCTGTATTTGCAGTAGCATAATTCCCAAGTCTTGTGACTGTTGATAGGACAATTATATTTGTTATAGAACTACAGGAAAAAAATAGCTTTGTAACCTTTGTAACTTATGTCATACCAGATTCAGGACTCTATTCATTTTGTTTTGTTCTTTTAAAAAAGAAATTGAAAGAGTAACTTCAAGTACAGTAATTTTGGTATATATAATGCCATATGCTGTACAGTATTTTACAAAGAGCTTGGTGTATTTCTCACATAAATGTCACATTTTTCATAACAGCCTACTTTATTTTTGTATACCAATGTTATCAAATGGGATCATTCTGTGTGTGTGTGTGTATTCTACTCCTCTTATTGGAGCTAATTTGGAACACTACACAGTAGACTGTTATGGTATAGAATCTTTTCTGTCCAACATTAATAGTTTTGTTATCTACAAATCTATATATTTGTAGTCTAATCCTGATGTTACACAACTGAGCAGTGTGTCTCTGGAGCCACCTGTTCTCCGTTTTCCTATTTGATGCATTGTAATGGAATGTCACGCACCACTTTTTGTTGTGGTTGTGTCACGTATGCCCACTGGAGGATCTAAATATAATAGATCCTCTATTTATACCTGGTGATATGTTTGCTTTATGTTGTCAATTTCTACGTTCAGGCTAAATAAAACAGAGAAAATAGCAAAGGAGCAATTTGAGTGACTTTATATCTCATTAGCTTTCTCTGTAACATCAGACGTCGCTGATATATCTCTGTCTGACATACTTTTCCAGCGTGTTCTCTTTAATAGAAATCACCCTTTTGAGTGTAATGCTATGTAATACTATTGCAATGTAGGAGCTGAATACATAATTTTACAAAGAAATTGTATGGAGCATGGACTATGTAGAAGTTTGTGTACAGTAGCTGTACACATGCAGTATTGTGCAATTTCATGCACAAGTATGATGCCTGCTAAATTCTTGAGTGCAAGAGAAGCTTAGTTCTGCAGCTATAATTTTTTCTGTGTGATATGTACAATTACATGATTTCTTCCTTCTTTTACTGTGAATTTTAGTCAAGCTGTGCTTGAGACAGGTGTGGAATTAAAGGGGTTAACTTCATATACTTAACCTTAACTTCTTCTGTACACCCAGATTGAGTGCAGAAAACACTAATCAAGTCTAGAAGGATGACAGAGAGAACCCCACCACAGGCTGGCAGTGCTAGCACCCCCTGTAAACGGGTTTTGATACTGCTAGGAAAGGGTGAAGTGGCTGCTGTTTACTCACCGAGGCAATTGGTGCTTTATCCCATCCTCATATAATGGAGATGGGAGTGATTGTTTAGAAAGAGAGTATCTATGGGATGAGAGATCATTAGGTAGGGAACCCTAGGAGCAACCAAACCTGAGGAGAAGGTGTGAGCTGAACTTCGTCGCTTTTATGTTAAGTTCTGTGATGATCACACCATACCTCTTAAATGGGCAAGTGTGGACTGTGTTTGAATGAAACTGGGAAGGAAATTGGTGCATTCTCTCCCTCAGCAGCAGGCTGCAATAGGAACTGCTGCAGGTGCAAAGAGCCCCCTGGCCAAGGTAAGAAGCAGATCATTCACCATGGTAGTGTGTGTTTATTTTTTAAAAATGCACATTTTAAAGAAAAAATTAACGAAGATTGAAACACATCCTGAAGGGATGACAAGTGAATAGTTAATTCCCTAGTAGAAGGGCTACTTTCTCATTTTATGCTGGTAAAGAAAAAAAAAAACTTTGGGAGTGGAATATAGGACTGGTGATAGCTAAAAGCTAATGACCTTCCACCAAAGGTGCTAAGAGCCATGAAAACGGTAGAGTGGGAGAGCAGTTTTTAGCCTGCAGAGTTGTTATAGCTTTTGATACAGCTCATGGATGTCCCTTTACCATGAGACACTCATCGTTCAAAACTAGTTGGATAGAAGGAATGCTATTGTACATAAATAGACCCTTCTGTATCTCTGATATAGAGACACACTGATACACAGTCAGTATGGAAGAATACTGTAGGCATGCCAGTATATAAAATGTGTATTGATATGGGTGCCATAGTGGTGTGCTCTAACAAGGGCTAAATTCTGACCCTACTTATTGAAGGGGGCTTATGGGTATAACTAGGTCACAGTTTTGCTACAAGTATTTAAAGGGAGGTTTTCCTCTGAAAAAGGTTACCATGAATGGCATTGTAGGTTCACTGGCCCTCAGTGACTTTCATATCTAATGTGTTTAATTCTTTCTAATTCCCAGTCCTGAAAACTCTCACTCAGATGAGTCATGCTAATTTCTTTACTTTCCATGCCTCCTCATGTCTAAACAAAGACCAGTTACGCCTAAGCAAGCCCTGTTGTGCTATGGTTCTGCCTTAATGACTCCTGTGCAATTTTATTACCTTCAGTGGGTTTGTACAGTTATAATTGATTGTCCTTAATACCTGGAACTTATTAAATGGTTTTGCTGATGTACAACAATGAACAAAAGCTAACTTGTCCTCTTTCTTAGCATTACACACTAATGTAAAAGTAGTGACAAAAGTGCTCATGTTTGTTTTACTCAAGTAATAAGACTATATCCCCCGGGAATAAATCTGATGAATAAGAATGTTAGTATATTAAAGTCTCTTTCAGAGTGGGACTGCCTTATGCTTTGTCACCTATAGTACTGTCAAGGCTTTAATGCTTGGCTATTAAATTTACTCTGCTGAAACTTTCCCCCTTTTTCTAAACATTTTTGCATGGAAAACAGTGCAGAATTCTATTTTTCTTGGGGGAAAAAGAGGCTTAATTTTTATATCTCATTTTGAGCAGTTGTGACCGCTATTTTTTCTAAATTTTCAAAAATAGCTAAGTTGAAATCTGCTCTACATTAATTTCTCTTAACATTTAATGCACTAATCTGTATTGACATCAGAACATCAAAATGTATTACTGGTTTGACACCCTCTGAGTTGCTGTGAGTATGTTCTGTTGGATCAAAGAGGCATGTGTTGGGGCATTTTGATGTAGTGTGAAGGATCTTAGATGCACAATGATACAAACAGAGATAGAGATGTTTTTTAAAGCTATTGCTTTTTAGGAAAGGGTGTTAATAAATATGACTCTCCCCACCCCCAGCTACAGCAAAATAATAGGTTTCAGAGTAACAGCCGTGTTAGTCTGTATTCGCAAAAAGAAAAGGAGTACTTGTCGCACCTTGGAGACTAACTAATTTATTTGAGCATAAGCTTTCGTGAGCTACAGCTCAATTCATGAAGTGAGCTGTAGCTCATGAAAGCTTATGCTCAAATAAATTGGTTAGTCTCTAAGGTGCCACAAGTACTCCTTTTCTGTTAGCAAAATAATAGTTTCTGAATAACACCAACAAAAAAAAGGAATAGTTTCCAGTCTTGGGTCCTATAATTTTTTTAACTCTAACTTTAATGGATTGTCTCTCTTGGAGAGGAAGTTTTCTGAAAATCTGTGTCCCACCCCACAGTTTTTGGTTGCACCATTGGGGACAAGATCAGGGAATGACTTTTAGGCCATTTTGTTTGAAACTAAGCATGATGTGGGAAAGCATATGGGAGCAGCTTCCTTTACTTTGAGTACCCTTCTTTTTATCAATTTAAATCACAACCTCCGTATTATTTGAAAGTAAAAATTTTGCCTTTACAAAGCATATGAGACGTCTTTTTGAAACAAAAAGATAGATTGCATCCCGTTTCAAAATACTCGTATCTTTATTCACTGAGCTTGTTAAATGAGCAAATTCCATTCCAAGCTTCTGAGTTTTCAAATAACTTCTTTTTTTAAATTTTTTAATTTCCTGTTGATTTCATAGTTGTACATATTAAAGCCTCTGGATATATGTTTCAGTGTCTTCTGAAATATTGCCCTTCAATTCTGTAGTCAGCTAAAAGACATTCACATCCACCAGAAGCATTTCTTTTTCACCTTTTTTGTTTTTCGTCTTAATTCCTGTTTCTCAGGAATTGGATGGTCAGGTGGTAATTTGGGGGCTGGAGCCATGGCAGGAGTTTTCTCCACTTGATCCAGTGTTTTCAAAACCTGATGAAACCTGCCTTCTTGTTGTCTGAAGTCATATTCCACACTATAGAATACATGAGAAAAATAAGTTAGTAAGTTGTTAGTTACCAATTACAAGGAGAGAAATATGGAAAATATTTTTAGACTTTGCTGCAAATAATGTTTCCTCTTTCAGAGTTGACATAATAGAGGCTGACTCAAATGCAAACAGTTGTAGGCTGTGCTGTTATGAGGAGGTCCTGTGTGGCAATTATTACTACAGGGAGTCATCTTTATTCACAGGAGGTGAAGGTTGTGGGATTGTGCCCAAAGTCATTCATTCAGAAATTAAGTAAATGCACAAATAGGAATGTCTCTAAAAACCAAACCAGGATCAAGCAATCACAGCTGGGAGGTCTTATGCAATACGATTAGGCAACATTTTACTTAATTCCAATAACCGTTCATGCATACGCTGCTTCATTCACCCATTTTTGTTTTCCTTCTCAGATTATATGAACAAAAAAGAAAGCAAATTTGCCTACCATAGGTAGATACATTTATCTATGTGTTTGTGAATCCGTGTATATATATATATAAACATTTTCCTAGAACAATTTAAAAATGACCATAATAATGAAATTGACCCATACAATTAATCTTAAGTATGCTATTTGTGGTAGCCCACATGTTCCATAGTATGGAAAGGTTGCTAATGCTGATTACTTTTTTATTACCGTGTAAAATGAATTGTCACATAAAAGCCTGTTTAAACTGTCAGCGAGTTAAGTTTTCTAATGGTGTTTTTTTCTTTAATAGAAAATGTGTTCTTGCTCCTGTGAGTGGTGTCACTTGTCTTCAGTGATTCTGCCTCATTGGGCTGCATTATTATTGATGAAGATGTCAAGGGTCACCTACGTGCATTAATAGTAAACAGCTTAACCATAATACAGAATTGCTTCAAGTTTACTATACTTTTCTAAATAAGTCATTTCCTGACTGACGTTTTTTCTTCCCCTATTCATTGGTAAATAAGAGTAACCATTAGTGCTGGTTGTCTTGAACACAAATGCCATACGTTAAAATTAATGAGCAGCATACTAAATATTCATGAAAAGACTCAAAATAACCTGTTTTATCCTCAGTTGGTTGAGTTAATACAACAGTACCTCCAAAAGGCCTCAATCATGATCAAGGTTCTATCATGCTAAGTGTTATTAAAAAATAAATAAATTACATGACGTGGTTTCTGCCATGAAGTGTTTACATTAAAATCTAAAGACCAAACACAACAAATGAATGTTCCTAAAATCAGAGGGGAAGGAGAATCAGGATGAGGTTTCTGTAGTCAGTGTGAGTTAGTTTGTAGTTCAAAACCAGTTAAAATCTATTTGTGGGTGTATGTCTCGGCTATTCCTGACTGGGAATTACCTGTAAATGTCAAGTTAGCAGAGGTTCTTGAGGAAGAATTTGAATGAGTACAGTGTAGTGGCCTTGCAGACTAGTTCAGGAAAGATGTTTGTTTCACATAGGGAGTACAAAAGAAAACACACGCATCCTGGTAGGGAGTACTGGATGTAGAGTCAATGCTGGTATCATTGGTAGCGTTGAGGGAGTGGGGGATGAGGATATGCAAAAAGGCACAAGAGTGAGTAAGAGAGTGGCATAGCAGTGGATGCATTAAAACTGAGGACAAGAAGACTGCACTTGCTGCAGGAGAAGAGGAGGAGCTAGTGGAAGGATTAAAATGGGCATTTTGGAAAATCTAATGGTCCAAACCACAAGAGACAGATTATTTCATTAGTTCCTCTTTGAATGGTCAGGAGTGGGAACAATATGGATGTTGGGGAAGTCAGAGAAGATGACTTACAATCTTTTGCGAAATTGCCCTGTAATCATGGGTGCCTTACAATGCCTTGCTACTGAAGCTCCCGGGGATGTTCACGATCAGCCCACAAGCATGCAGGTCACACTCTCAAGTGTCTGTGTGCTAGACAGCCCTGGTTCAGCAGCTCTGACCCCAGCAGCTTGTCTACAGCCCCACCCTGGCTTCCATCAGCCTTGGTTACAACCAGCAAGGAGATCCCAACATATTCCCATTCCCAAATTTTCCAAGAACCACGTGCTTTGCAATGTCCAGCCCTCTCCTGGAGAGTTCAGGGAAATAATAAGGTTCTTTTGTTCCTCTAAAGACACACAAAGAACACCACATCTTATTAACTGGGGTAAATATATCCTTATATTTACATGAGTTGGTTTAAAATAAAAAAACAAAAACAAATTAATTGATAATAGGACACAGGTTAAGTGATGTCAAGTAAAAGGAATAAAGTTAGGGTTACAAGCAATTAAAAGTGAAAACATCAAAAAGTCTAAAACTTAATCTAGCAAGGTGTACAGGCTTTGTTCAAGATGGTTTCTCACCTATACTCAGTTTCCAAGACTCAGTTTCCAAAGACTTCAAACCCCCCTGCTTGGTTGAAGGACCCATCTTTCTCGGTTTGCAAGAGCTGTCTTCACTTTTGACTGTGTAGTGATGAGTGCCAAAGATAGCTTCTGTCTTTGCTTATATTTTTTCACCATTAATGGCTGTTTAAAGAGGCAGGATTATCTCTTGCTGTTTTTCCCTTCCTATGGGCTTGCCATTCCCCTGCTGATTTCTTTGTAAATAGAGCTTCCATTGTTACTGGTCACACTTGGCTTAATTTCTTTGTAGACAGGCAGATAGCTGCCTTCCCTCCTGTTTGGGGGAAAGCCTGTTTCTCCCTTGTTTGGTCACAGACTGGAAGCATAATGCCATTAAGTATCATATTTCCTCATATAGCAGGGATAGGCAGCCTATGGTATGCATGATAATATTCAGTGGCACTCATACTGCCTGGCCACTGGTCGGGGGGGCTCTGCATTTTAATTTAATTTTAAATGAGGCTTCTTAAATATTTTAAAAACCTTATTTACTTTACATACAACAATAGTTTAGTGTTATGTTATAGACTTTTAGAAAGAGACCTTCTAAAAATGTTAAAATGTATCACTGGCACGTGAAACCTTAAATTAGAGTGAATAAATGAAGGCTCGGCACACCACTTCTGAAAGGTTGCCAACCCGTCATATAGTGTTAATACTACATTTCAAAATAATAGTGAAAAGACCTCACTTTATACACTTTTATAATACAGTAATATTGATTCAATTGCCTATTGCTTCAGGTTCAAGCCCCTTATCTTTCTTGACCAGTAAACCTTTAAAATGGATTCTTTTGAGGGTTACCCGTCAAAGGAAAGTTTATTCAAGCTGTGAGGAAGGTGACATGGAGCCTAGTGATGAAGGAAGCTCCATGATCTTTCTTTCCCTGAGTGTTAGATTAATTTGTTCCCCCTCCCCTCCTAATAAGTAAAAATGGACCTTCATTGTCTTTGCCTGGAGATAGGGCTGGTCAGAGAATCAAATACACATTCCTTTGTCTAAGGCAGACCTGTTTACCAACTTCCAAGATTTACCAACTTTATAAGGTCGATAGACAGCTGGCTAGATCATTGGGCTCAATAGGTAGTGATCAATGGCTCCATGTCTAGTTGGCAGCTGGTATGAAGTGGAGTGCCCCGAGGGTCGGTCCTCGAGCTGGTTTTGATCAATATCTTCATTAAGCTGGAGGATGGAGTGGATTGTACCCTCAACAAGTTTCCAGATGACACTAAATTGGGAGATACACTGGAGAGTAGAGATAGGATACAGAGGGACCTAGACAAATTAGAGGATTGGGCCAAAAGAAATCTGATGAGGTTCAACAAGGACAAGTGCAGAGTCCTGCACTTAGGATGGAAGAATCCCATGCACCGCTACAGACTAGGGACCGAATGGCTCGGCAGCAGTTCTGCAGAAAAGGACCTAGGGGTTACAGTGGACGAGAAGCTGGATATGAGTCAACAGTGTGCCCTTGTTGCCAAGAAGGCTAACAGCATTTTGGCTGTATAATTAGGAGCATTGCCAGCAGATCCAGGGACGTGATCATTCCCCTCTATTTGACATGGGTGAGGCCTCATCTGGAGTACTGTGTCCAGTTTTGGGCCCCACACTACGAGAAGGATGTGGAAAAATTGGAAAGAGTCCAGCAGAGGGCAACAAAAATGATTAGAGGGCTGGAGCACATGATTTATGAGGAGAGGCTGAGGGAACTGGGATTATTTAGTCTGCAGAAGAGAAGAATGAGGGGGGATTTGATAGCTGCTTTCAACTACCTGAAAGGGGGTTCCAAAGAGGATGGCTCTAGACTGTTCTCAGTGGTACTAGATGACAGAACAAGGAGTAATGGTCTCAATTTGCAGTGCGGGAGGGTTAGGTTGGATATTAGGAAAAACTTTTTCACTTGGAGGGTGGTGAAGCAGTGGAATGGGTTACCTAGGAAGGTGGTGAAATTTCCTTCCTCAGAGGTTTTTAAGGTCAGGCTTGACAAAGCCCTGGCTAGGATGATTTAGTTGGGGATTGGTCCTGCTTTGAGCAGGGGATTGGACTAGATGACCCTTCTGAGCTCCCTTCCAACCCTGATATTCTATTATTCTGATTCCCCTGATATGCCTGGTTTAAACACACTTTAGTTAAAATTCCAGCATATATTATAACTTTTTATACACAGCCTGTGCATACATCATACACAAATATTAATGATCAGTGAGTGGTTTTTAAATGATACCTCACAAGGCATATTTTGTACCAAGAGTATTACTATAGTGTGCATGATGTGAATACAGGGGTGCTTAGTGTCTCAGTGGTTGGCTATAATGAAGACAGAGTCTCTGTTTAGTCCTCCTATGATGAAATCTTTGTAGTTAGTCCTAGAGGATTCCTGTAACTATATATATAGAGAGAGACAACTTTGAGTGAATGTCTAGCAGCTGCTTCGGAGCCCTGCAGAGGGGTGCCCAAAACCGTAGTCCACCCGGCTAATATAAAAAATGTACCAGATCTGGAGAAGGAAGAGTTTAACATAGTATCCAGATTTTGGGTCTAGGCGCTGGAGAAGATGGTTGTGATGTCAGCAGTGACAGAGAGAGTGCGGCGTGGAGGTTTCATGAAGAAGGTGTGGGT